TGATTGCTTGGGAAGAAGAGGGGGGGGGGTGTAGGGTGTAGGCAGTCGGTGTGGATCGATAGGACGGCTCCCCATTGATTCGTCTCCAAAAAACAGGCTATCAGTTTTGAAACCAGGGTCGAACGATAACGTTTATACAAAACGTCCAAGGGTGATGACTGCTAATAAAGAAGAATGGGCTACTAACCTCAATGTTTTCAAAGCTAAGCCATCCCACATTGAGTTCAGAAGTAGAACCTTCTTATGGCATGAAAATTGCAGGTGAACAACCATATAAACTACAAAAAGCAGTGAGGAAGCAATGGAGGAGACAGTTATGAAGTGAATGGAATAAACAAGGTGAACATGAAGTCTTCACTCTTCTCAAAGGACCTTATACGACTCCCACCCACTACCTATGGATACCCACTTCCACTGTTCACCGCTTGCGCCCTTTCCAACCCACTGACAACTACAGGACAAAACTGTTACCCTCCCGAACAATTCTGATGGAAGAGGGGAAAATATTTGAAAACTGACGAATTTCATCAAAGCCGGTTCATATTAGGGGTAATACCGAACCTCAGATGCATTCATTGCTTCTCCTTCGTGAAAAACTTGCGCAAACTCGGGAAGGATTAGGGTTGAGTACGTAGGGCCACGACATTAAAACGATAGCTACAAAGGTGGGCGCTTTGGAAGAGATGAACACCAAGGAGATTACCAGCCGATCAAGTGCAAGAGGTCCATGAGCTGACGAAGCCACATCACTTTCCCAACAAAACCTACTGACACTGGCATACCACTGCCTACTTTCTGGGACCAGCTAAGATAACCACCTGTTTTTTATTTTTATCAGATCTCACTCTGCGAAAGTAGTTGTTATGGAGGAAAAGTGAGCTACTCTCTCACTGACATTCTTTTTTGCCCCTCAAAATTGTACAATAAAAAGATAATACAGGGAAAATGGTGCAGCTCCTGAAGAACCCGACTATATGCTTCCCACAAAGCATCCGTAAATCGCAAGGGAGAAATTAAGAAAGGGTTTCTGAGAAAGCTCAGCGATCCCGAAGCAAGAGGTCTCCAAATACCGGTGCTTCTCTTTAGATTCCATAAAAAAATTGAAATTTTAAGAAAACTACCATTTCACAAAACCCCAAATTTGAACAAAAGTTTTTTCCTCACTTTCTACAAAGTTGTCCAAGATTGGCAAACAATAATTCCAGAAAAAACTGTCTTGAAATCAAGGAAATACCTGAACGTAAGACGACAGTCTTCAAATCCACAGGTTCTGCTCCACAACTGAGTCCCTCAAACTTCCGTAGGCATGCATCTGTCGAGATCCAAACCCCTTACTTTCGTCGTCCATAAAGAGACCTCGCAGCTCGTCGAAAAATCTGGCCACTGTTCACAATGGCAAGAAATTGAAGGTGCCAAGAATATGCAACCAAGACGGCGGCTACCACCAGGATTCCCGAGAATGACCGTCTCTACTGGTATCTCACAACCAATCGCTTACATCCGTAAAGCCATGCTCCGCCAAGACTGTATTAGAAATACCACAGCGATTGCACGACAACTGCAAGTGCAAAGTATCATATCCCGTCCTCTTCGTTTGCAGATGGGGAGATCAATATCGCGTTCCCGTAGCTCTTGCTGCTCCTGTGAAAATCGACCAATACATGGACTGATTGCTGCAAATGGCATAAAGACGAAAGCCATCCTCCGCGATGCCGGTTGCATCTCTAGATCTTGTGGGATGCATCTCTCCAAAGCGATAGCCTCGAGTGCACAACTTCCGCGAACACCGCCGCTACGGAGCCACCTCAACACACCGGAACAGGGTTGCCCAAGAAGAAAACCCCTGGCACGCCAAAGCACACCGACCCGTGGACCTCGATAAGTCGAGTCCATCGGCAGGAAACAATTCAATGCGCAGGGATTCAATGTGGAAGGGTCGAACTCTTCAGAAGGTACACGACCTTCTGCCCTGTGGGGGAAAACTTAGGGTGGGATGGGTGACTGATAGGATGGGCACTTATTAAACTGAACTTATGCCTAACTAGTAGTACTCCCCCCACCCGAGAAAATTGCGCGCATTCCTTGGCCACTATTCTCCAATCCAGATTTTCAACAACGCAAAATAGCACCGGTTTTGTTACAATTTGCTACTTTTTTTTGAAATGTTTTTTTGGTTGACAAAAGCAATAGGAGGTAGAACCAAAACAGTTCGAAAAATTCAGGTGATGCTGAAAAATTAAGTAACAAAATGCAATCCTTCACAAAAAAAGAAAATTCAAGCCAAAAGATACCATAATGGAGGAAAGGCGACTGATGTTCTTGTTTTAGGTTACCCGTGATTATGTACCCAAGAATGAAAACAGTTACAAAATTTTTGATTGCGTTGAATTTTGCCAAAATGTTTGTTTTGTTTTTTGTTTGCCAAAATAGAATTTTACAATCCTTTTTGTGGAATGTGGGGTGATAACGGCAGCGACTTTGCGTTGAAAAACTTGGAATGTTGAATAGCATCCAAGAATTCCTACCTAGGCATCCTAAAAAATTTGAAACGCAGTTAACTACAAAAACTACCAAAACCTACAGACCTATACACGACAGAAACAACAAACCTAAGCTACAGAAATAGAAACCGAAAAAATGACCTAAAGAAAGCAAGCTTATAAAACCGAAAAAATGACCTAAAGAAAGCAAGCTTATAAAGATGCCCATTCTACCAGTCACCCCAACACTACAATGAACACATCAAAATCCATCGAAGACGTTGTCCGTGCTGGATGCTCTTCTTACGATGAGAGGCTCATCTGGAAAAGCGGGCGAATAATTTGTTGAATTTGTGTAAAGTAGCAGACCAAAGAGCTTACATTTTCCTTAGGCCGAACCGCTGACGAGGGAGACTCTCCCGCCGCCAAAGAATCGCCCAGAACCAGCTCCCCTTGCCGGACGAACTGCTTCTGACCTCGGTCCTGGGCGATCCGATCGTTCAATTTACTGCTTCCCTTATTTCCATAGTTGGATATCGGAGGACTTCAGATTGGTTGAACCAATTGATTGCAAGGGGTTATGGACGACATGGCCTATCTGAATGAGCTGTCATAAGCGAATAGGGAAAAGGGAGCCAATCAATGACGATAACCATACCCTTGATCCCCGATCGGATCGCACATAAAAAGGATAGGCGACTGCTTTTTGCTGAGCAGTCGGGACGGCGACCTGAACAAAGTTCAGTATCATGGACAACTCGATCTTCCGAATTCCTACATCCTCCTCTCTTTCAGATAGTGAATCAACCCCTTTCCCGAAGAATCTGATCCTCCGTTCTGACGTTTCGGTTTGACTTCATTCTCCGTTCATTTCAGTGCAGGCTCTTGACCCTGCTGTTTTGCTTTGCCACGAAAACAAGTATAACAATTTCTACGATATCTCAAGCGGTGAACTTGTTGTCGAGCGGAATCAAAGTTCTAAAAAACCAGGGATCTCGAAATTCACTAACTTTCTTCCCTAAAGCATCTCCTTTACAGAGTCATAAAACCTCCCGAAGATGAAATTTCAATACACTCTAGATTGTGATACCAGCGAGAGTCGAAAAGATTCTTCTGACAGAGAAAACTAACTTCACTAACCAGGATTTCCGGCGGCTAATCAGTTTTGTGGCCCCGTCAATCAACATCCTGTCGTCTTCTTCTCCTCTTCTTCTTCTTCCTGGCATTATAGCACTCATTTGTAGGCTCCGTTATTCGCGTAGGTTGCAGCCACTCTTTCCCATGGTTCAGTCGTCTCAAATTGATATCCGTCGCTGGCCGCAGGACAATAAGGTTTTCCTCCTTGCCATGTGTTCGGACTTTACCAAGTTGATATGGCACAAAGTTTCCTTGATTCGTCAAGAGGACTACACTGCCGATCTGAACTGCTCAAAATAAACCAAACTCAAGCAAACCAATGTCGTAGAATATAGCAGTATTCACTATTGGCCTTAGATCACAAATCACTATTCCGATCGATTTCAAGGACCACTGAAAAACAAATTTGGAAAGCATGCCGAACTGTGACATACTTCTGATCCGCGATTGGATCGTGGTGTAGAAGAAGTGAACTCGATCGTGCGTAGTGGTAGAGCCACTTAGACAGAGAATGGGCAGGTTCAGGTAGAGACGGAGTCAACCTGAATCGAACTCGTTGAGGAAGTGGACATTATAGAATCCCCATTAGTCATGGCGTACTTCTGATCCCCGTTTGGATCGCCTCACGACAGAAGTGTCGAACTAAGTTGACCTCTCCTCGCAGTCCTACACATATCCGTGCTCGTCGATGAAAGGACTATCGTATTACACAACTGCGTGAGTATGTCGAAGAGCCATCTGGAGAGAGAATGAGCCGGTTTAGATGGAGGGGCTGTCAACCTGAACCGAGTGCAATGAAGAAGTTGGCATTATAGAAGAGTAGGTCATGTCATACTTCTGATCCTCGTCCGGATCGCCTCACGACAGAAGCGTCGATCTATGTTGACCCCTCCCAGTAGTCCTCAATATCTCCCTGTGTCTGTAGACGGAAAATTCGTTAACGGGTTACACAGCCACACGAGTATGCTGAAGAGCCATCCAGAGAGAAAATGGGCTGGTTTAGATCGAGACGGTGTCATCCTGAAGTCAGTGCAATGAAAAAGTGGACATAATAGAGAACGTCAGTCGAAGCATACTTCTGATCCCCGTTGGGATCGCCTCACAACAAATCCGCCGTCTCCGTAGTGCATTCATGTTTCCTGAAGACGAAAGGTTTGAACAAGGGTTTCCTTCTGGTGCCAAATGTACTGATTCCTGGTCACCACATGTGGAACGACCGCTGTAAGGACTACTCAGTTTCCTCCATGACGTAAGCATTTCGACACAAAACGATCGGAACCACCGCTCACTTGGCACAGACTATAGTGCCATCGAGGTTGGAATCCAGTGCTTCTTCGTTGTCCATTTCACCCGGTCAGAACGAGCGTTCGCCGCTGCAGAGTTCGTTAGGTGACTGTGAACCAGTGGTCTATTGATAGTGATCGCTCTCCCGTCAATTGTACTCCGACCGTTTCAGACAGAACCGCACTCACTTCTGCAACATTAGCAAAAAAGCGAAAGGAACTGAGGTGAGCGCACGGAAAACAAATGGTCAAATTTAGCAAACTTCAACACATTCTCATTGGAGGTCACCCCTTCCGTAGGTACGAGCCGCCTAATATTGGGCTCGCTATATTCCTCATCATTTGCAGTGCGCCCAGCGCCCAATTTTCACAAACTAGAATCGATGCCGCTCCCACACTTTCACATGGTCGATCATCTTCAACAATCCTCGAAGGACCTAACGAAATTATCAAGAATGTAAGCTGGATTTTCGAAGAAGTGAAGTTTAATGCAAGTCAATGTTTACAACTGAGACGACGACGGAACAATCCGTTCTAAATTAGAGAAGAGAGATCGATGTTGCGAATAGGCGAACCTATACAAGTTCACCTTATCCCGCCATCAGTATAAAGAGAAGACCACTGTGGGAGAGTTATCCCAACTGCATGTAGCACCTCTTCCTTGAAAACACATGCGAAAACGATTGCAAGTATAGACAAAGACCTCAACGAAAAGAAAAAGTTCTTCATTCAGGTAAAAAATAATGTCTATTCTATTTTGAACTCACAAATTGTGGATGCCTCTGTAGTTAAAGATCTTGGTTTCACAGCCACTCACGGGCTATATTTTGATACACACTGCCTTAGCAGTGTTGCTGAAACTTAATCTGGCCTGCTCTTCTGCAGGGTGCAACCGTCTTTTTCAAAGCCTTCAAAATGTACGTGCGACCTATCTTGACTATGGGACTGTTATTTTCTCCATACAAGAAGAAAATTATTCACGCCATCAAGAGGGTTCAAAACAGATTCACTACGAATGTTATCATAAGAGCACTTGGGTACACTTACAATAGCATACCTCGTGCTATTGAAAGGAATAAAATGTTTAATCTAGACTCACTTGGTGAAAGGAGAGTGCTAGCCGATTTAATGACGATACACAAAATTATTTTGGGCATGCTTCCAAGTTGTTTAACTTTAAACCCTCAAAAGCTAGAGGTAACTTAAACAAATGATATTTTCCTCTGGTCACGACTTCACTAGGTAAGCACTTCCTTACGGCCCAGAGTATATTAAGTTCAGCAAACAGACTAGTTGCTTATTTAATCTTTCCAAAGTGAGGCGAGAAATTTCTCAGCTCCTCAGAAAACACAGCTAGTTCTCACCTTGGTCTTTATTGTTGTCTTTATCTAAAATCTGTGCTACTGATATTCTCTAGATATATATGTTTCCTTATATGTCTATATATCTATTTGAGTTCCATTGAATGTCCATTAATGGTGTTTGAGGCTATTCATTTTGTTGCGTTTTTTTTTTGTTTTTGTTGTTTTTTCCACATGTAATAAATTTCAAACTTCAACGAGACCTACCTACAGTCGTCGTTCATCGGCTGATTTGTGGCCCGCCGCAGCCGCCGCATCTTCCGAAGTCTGTTATTGACTGATTGCTCTTGATCGCCAATCACCAACGCCAAACGTCCGCCATCCCCTTCAGCCAAATTCATTTTGTACTCTTCCCAATATCAAGGAGTAGCTCT